AATATCGACATCTATTTTTTGCTCGCTCTTTTCCAATATTTACAATATAAGTATAAAAGTGTACACAAAATGTAAAAGCATACTACATTAAATGTAGTACCCAGCACACATAGCTAATAATTTTTCTATGCTTCTTAAAGACTGTTGTATTTCAACAAACAGTCTGCTTTCTTTTTATATTTTCAGGTATTTCTTTTCTGTAGATAATTATTCTATTCAAACAGTATCAAGCAGACCAGTAGAAGCAATAACGGATATCCAATAAATCAATACTATAAGATTGTTATAGTTCTAGAAACATTCTGTTCTTTCGAAATAAATACTATTATAAACTTTTACCAATAAAACAATTTCTGAAATTAAAATAAAAACGATTGAACTATACTATGGTTCAGAATCCAAAGAATTGCTCAAGTATTGAATTTAATTGGATATAAAAGATAACGAAGAGGTGTAATGTTGAACTATACTACTGTGTCAAGATCGAAAATAAATATATTATCCACCTTTAAAGCTCCATATAAAACATATAAAAATAAAACCTTGGTTTCAAAAAACTCTTTTCAATATCCCAAGTCAGATCAACACACCAAAAGTGCTAAAGAACTATATCCCCGTCATTTTTATTTGACCCCACACATGTGTATAGCTGGTCATGGCACATGGTGCTAAGACGAACTTGTTACATGGTGATATGTATCTGGACTCAATGTTAAACCTTGTCTTGACACCTGAGTAACTACGCCTTTACACATACGTATGTCAGATCATTTTTCCAGTGTAGAATAAATTCAAGAGAATATCTTCAAGTAATATTGAATAATAGAGTAAAATCCATGTGTCAAGGCGCAGTAAGATGACTTCTTCAAGTAATAGTAGCTAAATTAGGTAAAGTATAGCTGTAAAAGTTCATTAAAATGACTTGTTAAAGTAATAAAAGTAAGGTGACAAAAGGAACAGTCAGTTGTCAAAGTAGTGTAGGTTAACCTTTTAGAATTAACATGTGTATCAGATTACAAATGCTGCTGAAAGTGCACGTTTCAATATAGCTTCTTGAAGTAACAGTATATATAAATTCTTGAATATCCAATTGTCAATGCAAAATCGTATGTTTTATTTTACTTTATCAGTTATTATTATAACATATAGTATATAATATTAATGATCTTTGCTTTTAAATTAAAAAGTAGTAATAGCCAACACTTTTTTCTTTTTTTGTTGTTAATTAATACAAATCCAGGTATCAGGGCGCAGCACAATTGTAACATACAAAGGAATCATTATTTTTATTTTATTTTTATTTTTATTTATTATTTATATTGAATAGCTTTTGGTAATAGCTAAAATGATATATACATATATTCACTTTATTCTTTAGATCGATATATTTTTATTACAATTACTATACAATTAAAAATGATCTGATTTTTATTTATTTATATATAATTTATAAGTATAATAATAATAATAATAGTTGGTAGTAATAAGAAAAAAATATATAATTTTTAAAGATGTTCAAAGCAAACAGTGACTTAATAGTAAAGATATTTTGTTATATGGACATGATTTATATTACAATAGAGATTTATCAATAATTGAGATATTGAATGCAATTGAAAGATGATTAGATTCCATATAACTCACGTGCAGAGTACCTCTCTTTCGTTTTAACGGTTTGATGTAAGTCATATGATTTATAACTTCCTTTCTTTCTCACACCCACTGAGGTTTCTCTTAAATATGGAAATTTCTTGTCAAAACCAAATTTTCTATTGGCTTAGAGTATGAATTGAGATTAAACATAAAAAGCTTCATATTTGGGGGAGCAAAATACTGGTTTTATCCATTCAATTGGCGCCCATTTCCATCTAATTAGCGTCCGTTTCCATCTAATTAGAACCCATTGACATCTGATTGGCTTCCATAGAAATTGAATTTGCGTCCATTGCCAACTGAATTTGCTCCCATTGCCATCTGAATTTGCTCCCCCCCTTTTACTATTGGCGGAAGGGTACATGGCACTCAATTTTTTTATCCTTGCGCCTTACAATTTTTTTTATATAACCGTAGTATTTTTTTTTGTAAACGTCGTACTTTTTTTTGTAAACGTCGTACTTTTTTTTTGTAAACGTCGTATTTTTTTTTGTAAACGTCGAATTTTTTTTATATAACCGTAGTATTTTTTTTGTAAACGTTGTATTTTTTTATATAACCGTAGTATTTTTTTTTGTAAACGTCGTATTTTTTTTTGTAAACGTCGTATTTTTTTTATATAACTGCCATATTTTTTTATATAAGTGCCAAACGCCTAATGTAATAGCACTTCAATATATGTAGATCTTTCTACAAAGATACGTCATAGAAAATATCTATAGAGAGAACTAACAGAATATGTAAACTTTTCTCCAGATTACTTTATTAAAGTTAAATACCTTACTGCAGTTATAAGATAATAAAGCAAGTATCTCATTATAATAATTATGTTAAAATTGAAAATGCAATGATATTATTTGTATTCTTTCTTTATTGCAGAGTAAGTTTCAAATAAAAGATTCATTTTTTCGTCACTTGTAGCCTCCTTGTTGTTTTTAATGAAAAAAACAACTGGAGACTTTCTCCACTTCAAAATATAGCCACCAGCAGTTGTTTGTTTCATATTTACTATCTTGCTGGCTTTTTTGATAGTTAATCCCCTTATGAAGTAGAGGTAAAGAAGCTTTTTTATATCTTTATCCGTAGGCTTTTGATATTGCCCTCTACTTTTTTTGGGGGTTTCGTCTGTTGTTGACGGGGCAGAACTTTTTGGATCTTCTGGCATTTCAGGCTCTTCAAGCTCTTCCATGATTTTTTCAAAGGCACTGTTATATTCTTCAAGTTTTTCGTGTAACATTGTAGGGTTTTCTGATAATAAAAGGTGAAAAAATAAAGAAATAGGAAGATATGTTAAAGTGACATATTTTATATAAATATAGTTATATCTAGCACATAGCAGTTATAATTAAATAGTAATTACTTAAGATGCAAGATAAAAATCAGAACACAAGTTGAAGCAGCAAGAATAGATGTAAAGAAGATTGAGTTGTTGTTAAATAGTATTAGTCATTATATTTTCAGCTTTTTATATCAAAAAATAATATTCCAAGGTCCACTAAATAAAGTAGTACAAATTGAACTCAAGGAGATAAAAAATAAATAGGACAATATATTACCCGCAGCCATAAATTTATTATAAACATTCTTTTTTAAAAGAGATATCATAATTCTCTCTCTTTCCATTTGGTGTTTATATACCAAAACTGTTTATTTCTCTTCTTAAATAAGCAATGAATCTTATTATCATGCTCACTTCAACAACTAAATATTACTCTGACAATGAAAACACTGCCTAAAGCTCTACACCTCATGGATTTTTTTTATTATTTCCTGATCACATTATGTTTCTGTATGTAAATAAAGCCTATACCTCGGAGTCATTGATATTAATCTCTAAATAATCTATAGTATTTTGAACAAAAGCTATAAATCTGAAAAGAAAACGTGACGATTCAACCCTCCACCTACAAAGAAACTACAAGATCAAACATCTACCTGTACGATAGGAACCAGTCTACACATATTCATAATGCTTTTAAGTGCATTTCACCGACTATACTTTTTCGAAATCCAACAGTAGAATTCACTCTACCAACCACACAAAAACTTGCCAATTTTTATCTAAAATATCCAGTAATCTGATTGACTACCACAGCAATTGTATTTCTTATGAACCTGGTCCTACACAAGCATCTAATACCATTACAAAAAAGAATCCAAAAATGCTATATTTATTCAGCACCTGCTCCAACCATTTTACAATGTCAGAATCCTGATCTTCTTAATATCAAACTCAACAACTCTTTGTAATCTGCACTCGAAACAAGTAAATGTCCAACAATCTGTTAAACAACTGAAAGCGGTTCAAGAATTATACTTTGCTCACAATACTACCCGATCTCAATTTTGGAAACCCTCATGATACAAAATACCAAAAAAAAACCAAATATTACACACACAAAAACAGTAACAAAAAATAGCACAAGCTCATGACAAAAAAAAGAAATAAAAAAAGAGATGAAAAAAAAAAGAGATGAAAAAATAAAAAAAAATAAAAAAAAAGAAATAAAAAAAAATAAAAAAAAAAGAAATAAAAAAAAAAAATAAAAAAAAATAAAAAAAGAAATAAAAAAAAAGAAAAAAAAAGAAATAAAAAAAAAAGAAATAAAAAAAAAGGAAATAAAAAAAAAGAAATAAAAAAAAAGAAATAAAAAAAATAGAAATAAAAAAAAGAAAAAAAAAAGAAATAAAAAAAAGAAAAATGTAATAGCAATTTTAAAAATAATTCTCCAAATAGTATAACTAGCATTTTTATTCATAAATTTTTATAATATACATAACCATTTTTTCGCAAATAATTTCTGAAAAACTGAAAAACTGAAAGTCTCAATAACTGAAAAAATGAAAGTCTCAATAACTGAAAAACTGAAAACCTTAATAACTGAAAATAAAATAGTATCTAACCGCAGAAATTTCTGAAAAACTGAAAATCTCAATAACTGAATTTCGAGCTTTTCCTTGGCTCTATACAAAAAAAAACTTTCTTTTTTTTATTTTTTTTTATTTTTTTATTTTTTTTTGGTTGGGCAAACCCATGAGGAGAAATCCCACCCCTTCCTTCGAGACAGAGGACAGGACACCATAAAGGCTCTGGTAGCACTGTAAATCGGCTAATAAAATAAATGTTCTTAAAAGTGTGAAGAAGCTTAATATGTAAACATTCATTATTCTTCAACATGTTCTTTATCCAAATATATTAAGACAACAGGACAAGACTATACCTTGATAGAAACGTTTAAGTTATTAAAATATATATTTTTTTGGTATATATACCCCAGTGTCTTAATAAAAGTTTCTCAGTTATCTTTCTTCCTCGATTTTAACACCCTTTTTATTTTCAAAAAAAAATGCCTACTTCCAACAACTCCCTCGAATTTGTTATGGACAAGCACTGTAAAATGGTCAGTCACAGCGGTTCTGCAGACCAAACCCAGTTTTCTGGAATTGCTTTCGACCCCTTGTGCGATTTCAACCAAGAGATTGTCGACGAAATGCATGGAGAAGTTGTACTCCGATCTGTGACAGATGTCTTTGTCAACCATGCCGATATGGAATGGACCCATACCTCGGCCGGAAACCCAGCAGTCACAAACCTCCTCAGTCTCAAAAGTTTCCTGCCAACCGAAGTCAACGAGGCCACAACCAAGACAATTGTTGCACAGAAGCCAAAGACGAATCTGTTGGAGAAGGTCGATCCTGATTCTGTTCCCACTGCAGAAAGCATACACTGGAAAAATAACAATAAATACACACCGGGAAATTCAGGCATACTATTGTGAATATTCCGCATTTTACAGTGGGGTTTTGCCTATTTCCACTGGTACCAAAGCTGATCTGGTTACATGTGCACAGACCTGCTATCTACAAGTGTAAAGTTCGATAGCACTAGTGAAGTTGGGGTCAATAGTAATTTTATATCTTTGTATATAATAGAGTACCAAGAAAACTTTATTTCAAACTTTGTTTTTTTGCTGTAATACAATCTGTTTCCATGTTAAAGGTTAATAATCAGGGACTACGTCGCATGTGTATTGTTGAACTATCCCTGGGTGAATAGTTAGAACCATGGACATTTTATTGCTTATAAGCCAATCATTAACACTCTTTATTATGAGGTCATAGATTATCTGCTCCCCCAATTACTTGATATTCAATTATTATTGGTTTGAATTATAGTTTATTTTTGTATTTATTAGAAAAAATAGAATGATTCTAGGTTGATAGTATTGGAATAATATTATATGCCTCGGGCCGTCTTCACCGGTATCCTTCATATGACTCAAATCAAGCAGTGCTTTATATATAATGTTTGTAAACCCTCATATTCAGTAGTTATCTTTGGCACAGACACTATTTAACATAATAGAAGAGAAGTTAGATGTGTATTTAAATATTTACATGTTGTGAGTGATATATTAATTTGAGGATACATACAATATAATGACTGAAGAAGATAAAAATAAAACTTTGAGAGTTCGAGGCATGGCGTCAAGTATAATTTCTTTAACAATGAAAATAATATAGAGAAGTTAGTTTGAGTGAATTGGGTGACAGAATATGTAATGAACATACTCAAAGAAAGTCAATTTATTTGTAGACCTAGATAGTACTTGTCAAGAGTTGATATAACCTTTAGTAAAAAACATATATTAATATACAGTATAAATAATACTATCATACATATTAAGAGAATAAAAGAAGAAGTCTTACCATGTCAATGATGGCGCCAAGAGATAGAGGTTCTTGATTCATTGCGTGTTTGGCAGATGAACATTCATCTGTAATAAAAATTATATTCTGTCAGATAAATATTAAAAGTAAATAAAAAATAAAATATTACCGTGTTGATGGTCTTGTTTAATTGTAGGGAATATTTTTGGCGATATTGTCTATAAAAAAGAAGGAGAAAAGTCAGAATAATTTTATATGATGATGACATGAAGTATAGTTACTAACCTGGACTAATCCGGATGGCCATTGTAAAGAGAATACATCAGAAGGAAAAAACACGCTAGTATCTATGACAACTGAAATAATAACTATTATTTAGTTACATTTGAAGAAAAGAATTGCTTTAAAAAAAAAGAAGATATGTTACCAAAAAAGTTTGCGAATATAGTAAAACACTAAGAGAGTATATATGTATCTATGACAACAGAATGTGTTAATCTTGTTGTTGTCTGTACAGAAGTATTTTTAAGAAGAATGTATCTTACCAGTAAAATTGACAGTTATAACAAAAATCAGAAAGAGAAAGAAAAGAAAAGAAAATGGTCGATAAGGAAAAATATGGAAAAATATGGAAAAATAAAAAAAATAAGTAAATAAAATACAAAAAAAACAAAATAGGCAATTAAAAAAAATGAAACTCAAAAAAAATATCCAAAAAGCATAATAGATATAATGGTGTAGTATCTAAAAGCAATCTTTGTATCAATTTACACAGTGTGTGTACAAGAAGTTACTTTAGATATATTCTTTTAACCAAGATCAATCAAGACTAGACATCCTTTTTTTTGGAAATATAAATATACGTTTTTGCTACAATCTTACTCACCCTTGCTCACGCACTCTTACAATTATTCTTACTTATACTCACACTTTCTCTCTCTATCTTCCCATCTTTTTCTGTCTTTTATTTTGGTATGTTTGATAATAAATATAATTGTAGTGTATAATAGAAATTTATTCAAAGAATATAAAAGCATTAACAGTTAATACATATTTGAACTTATATTTTTTAAATTAATAGAATATGTCTAACCAAAATGAAAGCTATCCCACTCGACGCACTCCTGCTGAGAGAGAGATGACAAACTCTCTTGCCATCTTGCGTCGTGACATGACCACTGTCATGAAAGACGTTGCTGATATCAAAGCAAAAACTTCGAACACTCCTGTGTCTGCTGTTTTGCAGAGTCAGCCGATGGCTTTAGTGCATGCTGTTGCTCCTGTGAGCATGGAAATGAATGTAGCTGGTTCTCCCACCATGGCTTCTGATGCAAAATCAGTCAACAAAACAAAAGCCTATGTATGTATCATACATATAGTAAGTTATATCTTTAATAACTTACCAAGATTCAATAGAGACTTCTTCGGGAGCATTTGTGGGACCCTAAGTTCAAGTCAAAACATTTGGCTGAAATTCAAGCCAACAATGGCAAGCCAAGGTGGAACACGGCTGTCAACTTCAACCAGTCGCCAAACACTGAGCTGACAGAAAACCTCGTTGCCTACTTGGAAAGAAATTTCGTAGGAGCAGGACTGAGAAAAAGTGATGTTCGTGACTTTGTCTACACGAACTTCACTAGCAGAAAGCGTGCAGCTAATAAGTCTCAGGCTAAAAAGAAGTCAGACAATGCTCGCAACAGAAGGAGTAGCCGCGAAAAGGAGGTAAGTTATACTTTATTTATTTATTATTTGAATAATTCTTATCTAAGTCATTAATTTAAAGCAAAAAAAGAAAACTAATTTAATATTTTCAACAGCACTTGAAACGTCGCAAAACAGCGTACCAGTCTAACAAGACTGCTATTGATGACGAGATGAAAAGAGATTGCTCTGGTCTCATTATAGAAGAGGCTATGTCTGTTGGTGAGTCAGACGATGGCACTTCGCCTCATGTTTCTTATAGTGGGCTTCGTCTTCGTCGTCCAGGTTGGAGAAGTGATGAGGTACTTAGTTTTTTGAAAGTTGAAATATTTAATTTAGTTAATATATTATATTGTATTATACTGAATAAAATATTAATGTCTTTAATATAGTACAACCACTTCATCACACTTGTTGACAACAAAGTGGTAGCTGATTTAGGCTTAAATAGCCATCAATTGCTGTCACGTGCTTTTGGCGAAACCGTTGAAGGACCAGTCCCTGATGCAATTGCGTCACAGTTTCCTCAGTGGGCTCTTAGAAACGGGCCCTAAATAAAGTTTATATTTTTTGTTCTTTTTTTCTTCATTCATAACGTCCTATACTTTAAATAACCAAAAAAATGCATAAAGAGGCATTACTTGTTCTTTGTTTTTATTTAATTATTCTCATAAAAAATCATAGTGCATAATTATTCATAAAGGCTTCAGGCATAGTATTTTTTCGGCATAGGAATGACCAGCATTCTTTCTTCGTTCATATCAGTTACATCTACAGCAGTTGCGACCTCTAAGTGTATGCGATGTACAGGCAAGATGCTGTAATAATTATCAGCAGAGAATTCTGGCAAGCAGATTGCAATACCTTCATCTCTGTGTTCATTGTCATTTGTCGAATTATACCATCGGATGTATGCAAAAACATGCTGGTCTTGATGTAATGTTGATGCTCGGTGGTTTGGATGAGGAGGCAGAGTAAATGAATGTATAAAAAGATACTGAATTTGTCCGGTATATAGGCTTGAAGTTCGGCCATTGCTGCTACGGAAGAAAGCTTGAACGAGTGACCCGCGCTTACCAGAACTGTTATTCCCAATATATGTTTGGCCAAGGAGATCAATTGATTTCAATTTTGTGATTCGGTTATTTACAAAATATTGTGACAATCTGGCATCGTGGTAAGAAATGAGATTGGGCATGGCATAGGCGATTTTATAATAATCTAACAATTGAGGATAATCAATATCACTCATTGTTGATTCTTTTAAGGACTGTAAAGGAAAGGTGGATGGGGGGAGTGGTTCATTGCCTTTGATAGGTGCTGCTCGACTTAAGGATGAGTCTACAAATTGTTGCAGTCGGAAAGGTTGTTGGTTGGTTGGAGCATAAGTGGCATAGGTCGTTATAGGTGCGGTCGTAGAGGTAAGTTTTTCGAAAAGAGGAAGGAATGGAATGAGGCTTGGACATGATAACGTATTTCGTACGTAATCAGCTTTGTATGCGTCTGCAGTGAATTTTGTCATATAGGTTGTTTCAAACCCGTCTTTTCTGTTTGTCTTGTTATTCTTTAACAAACCATTGTATCTCTCAAAACCAAAGAGCCAATAGCCATACACGGGTCCAAAATCACGAATTGTGTCATGAAGATGGAGGTGCAGGTGCATGTTGCAGGTGAGGACTTTTGGTTCATATGTATCTTCACAAGATTGACAGAATTCTTGTAGATATCTGTGTGCTTGGTCTATTTCGATGAAACTGATTGACGGCTTTACAAGTATACGGCATGCTTTTACATAGTGCATCCAGCCATTGAACATATTGGACGGAAGAACTGGTTTTAGAAGCACGGGAGAGTACACCAATACCCAAGACTTCCACTCATCTGCTTTCATGTGGGAAAAGCCCTTTCCTATCTTCGTTTTCAGCTTGGTATAGTCGCTGGGCAATATCATCGTTGCTGCAACTGTCTGCATTGCAAGCAGATCATTGTTTTTCATTTTTTTGATTTTTGTCCATGTTTCAATCATTCTCTTTGGTGTTCCCAGAAAAAGATTATGCATGGGATCAATGATCGTTCCACGTACTAGATCAAAGTATCCATGGCAATACAACTGTGACCATCGAACACCATATTCGACCTCCAGCTGCTGCCTTTCTGAGCGTGTACTCGCACTATTCCACTCCTCAGCATGCACACGGTTTGCTCTATCACTTCGATGGCGCCACTGGTCACAATCAAATCCACGGAAATCGACAGAAGAAGTGCCTGGCAGATGATAAAATTGATTGTTGCATTTGTAACAGGCGCATGTGCTGTTGTGCGCGGTGAACCCACTAGTCTTTCTGGCAGCAGGTATATCGCATGCAACCATCAATAAGGCTGCACGAACTGTTGCACCGTCTGTTTGCTGGTAGGTGGGTATCTGTATTCCAAGATAGAGCTGTATCATTTCGTCGACTAATGGCTTGAGATAATGATTGATCTCTTCTGATTTTGGCTCTTTTGGTCCGGGCATGAGGCTAACAAGGATTGTATTTTCTGCTTTAAACCGCTCACTTCTAGGCAGGTTGTTAATCACCAGGTAGATAGCACCGCAGGAATAGCTAGTACCATCGAAAGGCTGGAACCAGTCGATGTTTAATGTCAGCATCAATGAACGAGGATGCTCAACAAAAATTTCATTGT